CATAAAATTGTGGTGAAAAAAATGCTGATGCTGATGGAATTGCAATACATATCACAAGAACATAAATTAAGAAATTCTTCATTTGTCTAATGTCTGATTTGAGGAATATCTTTGCCATTTCCAAAACGAGACTATTTGACTTACATTCGTAATTTATAGGAATATCTTGAGTGATTGAATATTCGGGTTTTATATCCTTCCATACACTTAAAATCTCCGATGTGATTTTCTCACTTTTCTCTTGAAGCTGATCAGTTCTGGAATCAATAGTGACCATTCGCATGAATGCATCTGCTGGATTGACAATTGTATCTGTAGGATCATATCCAAATTGTTGGAAATGGTTCATGGCCATCTGTAAAGAGCCCAAAAACACAATATTTCCAGTCGTCATCAGAATAATTCCATCGAAAGTCTTTAGAATCTCCAATGAAGGCTGATGGATTGATATCAAAAGTGTCTTACCTTGTTTGGAAAGATGCTCCAACTTGTCTACTACAATCTTTGCTGAGTGAGAATCAAGTCCACTAGTAGGTTCATCTAAAATCATAATGGGCGTATCCATCAAAATACACCTTCCTATTGATAGTCTTAGCTTCTGTCCCCCTGATAACTTGTCATAAACAGTGTTGGCTTCATCAACAAGAGCAAACTCTCTTAATATCTCCATCACACGCACACTGGCCTCTTTTCCGCTATACTTCCACTTACTGGAATAATTAAGTAGCTCAAGTGCTGTCAAATGTGTATAATTAACTAATTCTTGGGATACGTTAGAAATTAATCTTCTTGGATGTTCCTCATTCATTCTCTCTCCATTAAAGAATATATCTCCCTCTACTTTTAACCCTGCACCACTATTTCCAGTCAAAACATTTATCAATGTTGTTTTACCACATCCACTTGGCCCAAGAAGTCCCATTGTTTGTCCTGCCCTTATCTGTCCACTGACACTGTCCAGAATTTTAACACCATCTTTGGTTGTAACAGTGACATTGTTCCAAGTTAATTCAATTGGGCTCTGTTCTGTAGAACTCATTGAGGGTACATCGGAAAAAAGTTTTTTATATTTTTGCAATATTCCTAATTTGGATTGTTTTTCAAAAAAAGTATTAAATGAAGGATCAGTATGTTGTGATACCTAAAGAATAAGAATTATTTATTGTATATAGAAATTATAGAAAAGCTTTATAATTAGATAGTAAATTAACATTTTCTTTGGAAAATTTTGTTACAAACATTGCAAGAAGAGCACAACTAAACGACAGAAAATATCATAAAAGATGAGATATAAAGATATGCCTTTCTACAGCTTCTTTTGATAACGTTTGTATGGAGTATGATTGAATATTTTTGGTGGCATAAATAACCATATAATCCAAATAGTTATTTTAAAAATAACACATTTATATTCATATAAATGTATCTTAATATCAGTTAATTAATTACTAGTTATTATATTCATATAGATCATATCATCTTAATCACAGCCTACCAAGATATAGTTTACTATGCCCCTCTGGGATTAAACTATCACATATTCAATCATTAGCATCGAAAATAATTTAACCCCAAATGGTAGATTACAGAAACGGTAATATAGTCTCGTTACATTTGAAAAATTTCCAAACTTTTAAAGATCAGCACTTTAATTTTGGGCCATCACTGAATTTGATTGCTGCCCCAAATGGATCAGGAAAGAGTAGCATAGCAAACTCATTGGCTTTCGTTTTTAACGGGACCACAAAGACCGTTGGTAAATCCAAATCTATAGCTGATTTTATTCGTTCTGGGACTACAAAAGCGGAAATTGAGTGTGTTATTTACAAAGAGAACAAATTATCTCATGTTTTAGATGCTACTGAAGAATCCTTGGGTAAAAAGCAAAGATTCTCACGGTTTTGTGGACCAAACTATATTCATTTAAAACGGATTATCACTCCAGATCAAAAATCCCAAAGTTCCTATTTTATTGATGGAAAGCCAGTGGATCAGAAATCATATTTAGATTTTGTTGCCTCTTGCAAGATTGACTGTAACAATCTTACAAATTTCTTGCCCCAGGAAAGAGTTTCAGAGTTTACTCAGATGACCGGTGTAGAGCTTTTTAACGAGGTTTATAGAAATATGATTATTGATCACTCTGATTCTCAAGATGGGTTAATGGATCCCAAGAAGCTAAATCATTTGATTGACGAACTGGAGAAGCTACAGGAGGCAATTGAAATCAAGTCAATTGAGATTCAATCCAAGTCAAAACAGCAAAACATCATTGATTCTGCGATTCTCACATTACAATCTGAAATGGAGAAATTCAAAAAATTTGAAGAAAATGAGAAGCAAATTAGATTGTTGAGATTTAAGAAATCAAGAATTTCTTACGAAGAAGCCAAGGCTAGATATTTGGGTTATAAAAATGCAATTCAAGTTTCCACAGAAAAACAGAAAATCAATTCCAAGGAAATTGTAGAGCTTGAAAATGTGATTTCAGAGCTGGAAAAAGAGCCTAATTTACAAAGATATAAATCAGGAGAAAGGATTTTACTGGCCCAGAACAGCAAAATAGAGGATATTTGTAGACAGATTAAAAACTTTACGATGGAAATAGAAGTAAAACTATCTGAAAAAGCCAAAGTAGAAAAGAAAAATCAAGTAATTAGAAAAGAAAATGAGAATCTAAAGAAACAGCAAGCAGAGAATTCCGTTCAAAAGAAAGAAATTGAAGCTCAAGTATTAAACACTTGCATGGAAATTCTTTCAAACTTGAAGAATCCCAATAGTTATGGAGATTTGATTCCAATGGAGTCGTTTAGTTGTTTGGCAGAGATATCTAAGCTGGAGGACAAAGTCAAAAAGCTCTTTGATGGCCCTGCACTCAGGAATCTAAATATCATTGTTGCAGAAATCGAAGCAGTCATCCCATCCACAAGACCTGTAATGGCAATCATTCACAGTTTTGATGATGAGAACAGAAAAATACAGCAGAAGAGTAAGGATCTGCAGTATAAAATACAAGATTTGGAGAGGCAAAAGCAGGTTTATTCACATGAAAAAAACAAAAGGATGGAGATGCTTAGAAAATTTCATCTTGATACCTATAAGGCTGTTCAGTATTTGAGGGAAAATGATATGGGGATTGAGTTTTTAGAACCTTCATTTTTGCATCTAAATATTCACAAGGATTATTCTGATGAAATCGAAAATATCTTGGGATTTCAGGTTCTCTCCTCGTTTATTGTATTTGATCAGCAAGACTTATTAAAACTGGCCCATAAGTTGAAAGATGAACTGAAACTTTCGATAAATTTTATTCAGATTAAAAGAAATGCTGTAGACTATTATATCCCAAATGATCTTCCTGGTCAGCTGAATTTCGATGGGTATGCCATTGATTTTATTATAGCTAGTAAGGAGTATAAGCAAATGTTTTGTACCTATGCATTTCTGCATACAATTCCAGTATCCAAAAGAGAAGTAAATGAAGAAGAGATTTTTAAAAAAGTTACAAACTGCCAGAAGATTGTTGCAAATGGCAGAATGATACAGGTGATCAAGAACATATATAACTCAGAATGCATCCATAATGCATATATTTTAAAGAAGCGTGGACTTTTCCAGCTTTCTGTAGACTTAAACAATATTGACAATACATTGAATCAATTTAATGTAGATAGAAAAAATGCAAAAATACAGTTGGAGGAATTATTAGGAAAAAGACAGAAGTATGACGATGCAATGAAGAGTATGGTAAGACACTACGATATTACACCACTTAAATCTAGTTTGTTTGGATTGGAAAGGATAAATCAAAAAATATCCATACCTCCACAAACTCCTATAATCTTTGATGAAAAAGTATTTGAACAGATTAGTACCAATATTACAAAGCTTGAGCAAGACTTGCTACAGTTGCTCAGCATCGAAGATATCCCAACAGTTGATATTGATAAGATGAGAGAGGCAAAACTGGAGTATGAAAATGCTCTGAGACAGATTGGAGTAAAAAGAATGCAGAAACGTGACACTGATGATGAATTATCAAGTTTGAAGAATCAAAAGGAGATTTATAAAGCTACAGCTGGGGATCTCAGTAAGGAGCTTGAATCTATGCAGCAGGCAGAACATGAAAGAAAACGACTACATGAAAACACTCAAACATTTACGTTTGATAAGAAAACAAGAAACGACCTATCAAGTTTTGTAGTAAGTCCCATAGAAAATTTCTACGATGAAATTTCTGACTTGCCCAATGATTTGATAGATATCTCATCACAAATAAACTCACTCACTTCTCAGAATATGCTTTTAGATTCCAAAGGACAAATTCGATCTGAGTTTAAAAGGAAAGAGTTTGAATTTAATAAGGTCAAGTCTACGGTAGATATTTTGCAAGAAGAGAGGCATAAATTAATAATTCAGCATTTAGAAAAAAAGAAGCTTATCACAGCGCACATTTACAAGTATTTAACCCCAGTGAACGATAGATTTAAATCACTGTTTGAGAAATTTGGATTTCAAGGGGAGGTTAAGCTCTGCTTTGCATCAAAAGATGATGGTGAAGATGGAGAGACCAATATGGATGAGGGAAGTGCAAAGGATTTAGATTCTAAGTTTGAGAAGTCGCTTGCTAAGTCTATTGAAGAATACAGAAGTGGCAGTTTTGCTTTAAGCATTTATGTAAAATTCAGAGAAAAAGAAATGATGCAGAAATTATCATCGACAAGACATTCCGGAGGAGAGAAGAGTGTAAGTACGGTTTTATTTCTTTTAAGCTTACAAAGTTCTTCTACGCCATTTAGACTAGTTGATGAGATTAATCAAGGAATGGATCAACATAATGAAAGAAAGGTATTCGAAGTTTTAAAGGATATGGCAAGCTCGTCACAATTTTTCATCATTACTCCTAAACTGATTGAGAATCTTGAGTTTTCTGATCAAACAAGAGCCATAGTACTTTATTCCAGCCAAGGCATAAAACAGTTGGAGGAATATGCGAATTCCAAACTAATAAATAACTGATCTAGTAAAAATAACACTTTTGTAGATGTGACACTTCTAGTGTTTCGATGCTTCTTATGGTGTTTATTTCTTTAATATTATTATACATATTAATTTTTGGTAAACCAATTTTTTTATTTATAAAGAGGATGCTACTTAAGGGTTGTATCGGATATCCGTACTCGCAGTTGGTTCAGCTCTTCATGGCCACATGCCAGATCAAATTGTTTTCCTACGATTCTTTTTTCTGATCATAAACTTGTGCTCATTTTGGCTTACTTTCCATCTTTCAATTGCCTTCTTTGCAGATTCATAACCTACCGCCACTATCTCATCATATTTATGAAAGTCTGTGGTTTTATATTTTTCCAAATCTGGCAAAATATGTAATATAAAGCTACCAGAGTTGTTACTGTATAGCTCCATGGATTTTTTGGAATTACTTAAAAAAGTTAAAGTATACTGAATCTCCTGTAGAGTCATATATGCCTTAGATTTAAAATATCTACCAAATGCCAGAATCAATCCACTTCTTGATTCGTATGGAATAAACTTAGAAATGCTAACTGGAGTAGAACTCTCGGTGTTGTAGACATTTGATGTATTTTTCTCCTTCATTTCACCATATTCATAGGCATTGAACATGATATCGCTCCTCACTGATGATTCTCTACTCACATCTACAGATATAATATTATTAACACCCATCTGTCTCATAACATCTACAGGGACGTTGTTAGTATAAGCCCCATCTACGAGCAGGGTATTATTATAGAATACTGGAGGAAGATATCCACAAATACTCATAGAAGCTCTAACGAATGTGGAAAGTGGGCCTGTAGTATGAACAGACTCAGCATTGGTTCCCAAGTTCGTAGTAACGCAGTAGAAAGGAATATTGCAATCTTCCATGGAAATCATAGATTTATCATTTCTTAAACTCTTTTTAAACAAACAGTAGTTATTGAAATTTCCCACTCTAGATTGTTTGACTGTAAACAGCTTTTTTAAGAAGTAGTCCACGGACACGCCAGAAAACATAGAAACAAACGGATATGTTAAATCAACCATCATATTCAAAAATGAAGACATAAATCTACTAAACTGTTTGACTCGGGTATAGACTCTCACTGAATCCATATGTATGCAGTATAGGCTACCCACAAGAGCACCCATGCTTGTCCCACCTATGATATCCACAGAGATTCCTGCATCCTCTAGCGCTCTCAAAACCCCAACATGAGCATATCCCCTGGCACCGCCTCCGCCCAAAACTAATCCGATCTGCCTATCAGTTAGATATCTGGATAGCCTAATACAATCAAATTTAGACCTACAATTGGTCGAATTGGAAAGATCAATAAGGGAAGAGCTCTTATCTGAATAAATACAATATTTTGAGGACACCCTATTTAGAGTACGAAGAGTTGATGTATTATGCATATTGTTATACACTTTGTGGATTCTTCTTCCATCGATATACTCCCTAAACTTCCTACTCAGTAGAGTATGAATATTTTCATTGGTTTTTTTTTTTCTTATCTGTCTGTATCTAAATGGGAAGATAGATTCTATAAATAGGACAATGTACTTGATAAGAAATACCTTAAGGAGTCTTTTATAGAGAGTAGAGAGTAAACTCTCAACCAAGCTCTTGTAGTTAGTGTCTATTGGAGCTGAAACAATTTGAACAAACTGGACATTACTAAAAGGGAAATTATATGTGGGAAAGTTATTACCATCAACTATAGTACTATTAGTGGTAGAAATACCGTCTTTACTACTCTTACTAACATTATCCATACTACTAGTAATGTTATCAAATTCCTCTATTTGTCTCTCATCAAATATCTTTAATTTTAAATCAACTGATTCCTCTATAAAGCAGGACAAAAGATCATTCTGAACTAATAACAGTATCACAGGATAGTCTAATCTGCGTAGCATATCACTGATCAGTACCGGCACCAGATGATTTATTAGATTGACATGATTAGCTAGCTCAACATTCTTTATACTAAAAACTCTTTCTATTTCTTTATTGATATCTTCTATCTTTATTAGCATTGATTCTCCCAATATAGTTAAATGTAGTGACTGAGCCAATTGTAGAATGGGATCCGATGTATTGCTGCCGATTGTATTATTGGCACTGTTGTCAATACTACTCTTCAATTTATCACCCTGTTCTAATAGCACCACCTTTCTTTTTCGAACTCTTTTCTTACACATCAACAAATTTTCTAAAACTATTCTGTAGAATTCAGGAATATTAGTTAATAAATAATTTATAGCTAAAGGATCCAATTTTATATAATCAGAAATTTTAGAGTTATCAGTGTAACTAGTATTATCAGCACCATCATTCATAGCACTGTTGCCAATAGAACTATGATTCATAAACTCTTCCAAAAATATAAACTTATGGTTGTTAATAAATATACTTCCTGTATATTTTATTTGATCGGTACGAATCCATTTAGAAGTTACTCCAAAAATTAAAAAGGACTTAGGAATGACCGAGAATAGGGATTTTATAAGAAGGATAGTCTTATTGTCATCACCACCAATACTTATGCTATCATTGGAATTGATATTGGTTGGATTTTCTACCAACTTAATTTGACTATTCATTCTAAACACTAGTTGATATTCTATGCGGCAGTCTGGAAACAGAAATTTAGATAGTCCAAAAATAGCTCCAGGCTTCAAAATAATAGAGCTATTCACAAGATTATTTGAGGAAATTACATCATCTCTTATCTCTTCCACCAATACTTCGCCACTTTCCAACAACATTATCCCATCTAGCTTCATCTTGTTCCCTGTCCTATACACTACACCCTTTCCAAACCTAAAAACATCTTTTATTGTAGGATTATACATGGAATTCTCTTCGAGCTGTAATAGGCTGCATTTCCAAACATTTACTGATGGAACTACAGAGCATTTCGATATTAAGGATAAATATAAATAAAGATATAAATTCTCCTCAATAGTATTATTGCCACTATAACACGTATCATTAGTACTCCATTCTTTTATTCTTTCTAGCCTAGCCTCCTTCGATTTGACTCTTTTTATTACTCCACTGGGAATATTTAAATAGTCAAAACAATTAAATGTAGAGTCTCCATCAGAGAGGGTAGAGATAATAGAATCATTATAGACAATATCAATCTGTCCGGAAAGTATAAAGTAGTTACAATTATCAATTGTTGAGCCTATAGATAATGTAATAGTGTTACTGATTAGTTGTTGATTGCTGATATCCTTTAGTATTCTGTTTATGTACGGTTCTGCTTCCTTATATAGCTTCAATGGTATATCGGTTATCATTGGGATATTATTAAAGGACATGGTGGAAATAGAAGATTTAATTAGCAATAGTGTTGTAACCATAAGAAAAATTGTGAATAGAAGCAAAGGTATCATGGAAGGGTAAAAAAAATATTATATTTAGTACATTAATGTTTCTTATGGAGAGAAAATACTCTATGCTGGCGGCAATATTCATATAAAAATAGATAAACTTGGTATGTTTTACAATGTAAATTAATCTGAAGTGTAACATTCATCAATTGAACCAATTTAAACTCCAAAATTCAAATGCCATGCATCAGTAGAAAATAATCAATATACTTGATGTAACTATTTTCTTATAAAATGAAATTATAATTAAAAAATCATTAATATACAAACCTTCAAAAATTGCTTTATTAATTTGGCTTGGTTCAACTGGTTCTGAAGCAGATGATTTTGAATGAATTGGCAATCTTTGGTTTTTATATTAGATCCTAGGATAGTGGATATGGCGGACAAGGAGTCTCAAATCCAAAAGAAGGTGCTGGAGGTGCAGATAGCATGGGATGTCGGACTGTAGGCATAATAAATCCAGGGGATGGTGGTGTTGCAGATGGCATGGGGTATGGGGGTGTTGCAGATGGCATGGGGTATGAGAGTGTTTTAAACCCAGGTGGTGGTGGTGTTTTAAACCCAGATGGCGGTAGTGGTGTTGCAGATGATATGGGATATGGAGGCATTATAAACCCAGGTGGTGGTGGAGATGGCGCGGGCATTTTAATTTTTGTCTGGCGACTATTAATTTCATTGAGATAGTCAATATTATCTTGGTGCTCTTTATTATTATATATTGGATGTTCATCTGTTGTAGATTTTTTAGGCGTCTTCGTATCTGAATAGTCTATGTAGATGCAACCCAAACCAATAATTGCTATAAGTGCCAAATTTGAATAATAAAAAACATTCATCAGTCTAACAGCATCAGAGAAATCTTTTGCATAGCTAAAGCAGTAAATTGCGGTAAGAATAGGCACTGATATAAGATGAAAATACACAAAAGTCCTCATAATTTTTTTGTACTGGAAAACAGATAGAAGCAGAAGTGTAGAGAGCAGCTGTGAAAAGTATATAGCTTATACTGATCACAAAGAATTGTGTAATATTTTCTTGAGAAAGAGATTGTGTCATTTGGTGAAGGAGAGAACAAAAAATTATTTAAAACAAAATCCATAAAAGGTAAATTGAAAAAATATTTCATATTATCTTTATGTGCTTTATTGACAAAAAAGTAGAATAATCTTTATTTGTTACAATATCATAATATCCTCGAATGGAGTCACCGTAGTGTAGTCGGTTATCACGTCCGCTTCACATGCGGGAGGCCACGAGTTCGAGTCTCGTCGGTGACAGATGAATTTTCTTTTTATTTTCAAAAAAGTTCAGATCTCCTCCATCAAAATGTCTCACCTATACTTTCTCGATGCTGCATTAGAAGCTGCAGAAGTTGCTTATAGTAAGTCAGAAGTACCAGTAGGATGCGTTGTTGTGATGGATAATGAGATTATTCTTACTACACATAATCAGACGAATATAGATAGAAGCCCTATTAGCCATGCTGAGATGATAGCAGCTAAAATAATTTACGCAAATATGGATACTAAGATTGAAAGTCGATGCTGCGATAGGGTACATACTAATAATATCCTTGTGGATGA